AAAAATAATAGAAAAAAAAACAAGGTAATGTCTTGGTTTTAAAAATATAGTAAATGGAGAAGGGGACACAGGGACAAAGGATAAAATAAAGGTTGGAGTTGAATATAAAACTTGAAAATTTGGCAACAAAATTTATGGGAAATATAAAATTGTTTAAAGTAAAAAAGTAAAATTGACTGGTAGTAAAAATTTTGGGGTTTAATAAAATTTTTGAAGTAATAAGTTACAAAAAAGTGAAAAAGTAATGTTTATTTTATTCAGTATTGACTGGTAGTTTTTATTTGAGGTTTATTTGGGAGTACAAAGTAATAAAGTACTTAAGTGTAAATTGTATTAAAACAGATAAAGGGAATTAACAAGTAAGGTTTATTAAAAGTCAAAAGTGTTTTTAGAGTAAAATTTAAATTATAGAAAAATGGTAATTATTAATTTTAGAAGTAAAATCAATTGTAGTATTTAAAAAAATATGGGTATAATATGGACAGGAAAAGTATCATTTTAGCTAATTTTAAGCAAACAAAGTAAATAAGAAAATTACATAAGGACTTTTCTTTCTAGTAAAACACAAAATAGGGAGTTGATTTTTTTTACTAAGAGATTTTTTCCCATGGTGGGAGAAGAAAACTTAAGTCTGTTTTTCTGTTTTGGGGTTTGGGGTGAGTAGGGGTTTATCTGATTTTTTTAGTTTATTGCTTTGTTTTTGGTAACTTTTTAGTTTTCCAAAATTTCAGATAAGTTTTTCCCCGGTTTTTTTCATAAAAACCTTTGATGTTATGTAATCTATTTTCAATACAATTTTTTTGACCTTTTATCAGGCTGGTAATGCTGACATAATTTTTTCGACTGTTCTCTAGTTATTTGACCCATTCTTACTGTTTTTTTTATATTTGTGCTTTGGTTTTTGTGGATTTGAGGATGCTTGGGTAAGCCGGGGTTATTTAGTCTCTTTGCTGTGATCTTTTATTTTTCTGGGGCATTTTTGTTGTAGAGGGATTGGGGTTTTTTTTTTTAAAAATATTTTTCATTTATTCTATCTGTATGTTTTAAGTCATTTTGCCAAACGTGTTATTATAGCTCTATAAGATGTTAACTGCTGCTATTTTTAGTCTGAAGATTTCTTTTTGTAATTCTTGTGTAGTTTGCCCAGATTAGTTATGAAAAGGTTGGGTAGTGGTCGTTGTTGTCCATGATTTTGCCTGATTTAAAAAGGGGGGGATGGGGGTTTGTCCAATGTGGTCTATTGGGAGCTTGTTTTGGAGATTCTTGTAGGTTTAGCATTGCTGGTAGCAGAAAGGCATTACTCATTGTGTTTGTGAATTTGGGTTTCTTGTGGGTCCTGGCGTTAGTATGTTTATGTTTAAACACCTGTTATAGAGGTTGGTCTTTATTCATGGGCATATAATCATGGTTCCTAGTTTTTTCACTAAAGTGATAAATGTTTGACTGTGGTACTCTGTAGATGTTTTTAAATGTGAGGGTTTTTGCTTTTTTTATTTAAATTTTTCTAGATATATTTCCTTTCATCCCTTTTGCAAGATTTATTGATACATTTGAGTTATTTTTAAAGTATATAGCTTTTCTTCCCCTTGCTGGTCTGTTTTACATTTGTATGGCCCTGTACCGGAATGGGATAGAAAATTTTAATATCAGGGTTAAGCCGGTTTTTGTGAGTGGATGTTTATATATTTTGGAAATTTAAGGGGAAATGAATAATGCTGTGAGGTCATCAAAGTTTTGCTCAAGGATTGACATTGTAGTTAAAGTGGGTTTTGTTTTTGTTTGCACTATAATGTCTTTGCTTGGGTTTCGTTAGTAAAAACGTTACTTTGGGGTTTATTCGTAATTCATTTTGTAAAAGTTTACATCAGGATCAGTCGAATCATAGGATGAGAGTTTTTTTTACAAAATAGATTTTTCTGAGTAAAATTATATAAGATTTTTTATTGAATTACAACTAAACTTATGACTAAGACACCCTGATTAATCTAAAACTTGTAAAAATTTGAAAGAAAAAAGGATTATTACAGAATTGATAATTCAGTTATACACTGAAGTACGTATCTAATAGCACCTTAATTATTTTAACAAGTGAGTTTATGAACTACAGTAGATATTTACAGTTAGAATAAAGGAGCTAATGGATATAATAGTAAAAGAATGTATTAAAAGTAAAATCAGTAGCACCTGAGGTAGTTTATAGCACCAGAAGTATTTTAATGTCAAAATAGTGAACTTATTACACTTTAGCCCCTGAGAATAGCACTTTGATTATTTTAACAATTGTGAATATATGAACTGAGGTAGTTATTTAAAGCTAAAATAAGGGAGAAAATATATAAGGGACTAAATTAAGTAAAGGTAAACAAAGTTCAATGGACAGATAATATGTTGTGTATCTTTATATGTATATGCTTCTAAACTGTTGTATTCTGAGCACCTCTGCAAAAACAGTGATAATGTGTGAGTGTGGTGAAAGTGTTGAATGATGATGAAAGTATTTTCTTTTTGGGGATTTTCTTTCTTTTTTGGGTCACCCTGCCTCGGTGGGAGACGGCCGACTTGTTGAAAAAAAAAAAATAATATAATGGCAAAATAGTGAACTTATTACACTTTAGCACCTGAGAATAGCACCTTGATTATTTTAACAAATGTGAATATATGAACTAAGGTAGTTATATAAAGCTAAAATAAAGGAGAAAATATATAAGGGATTAAATTAAGTAATGGTGAACAAAGTTCAATGGACAGATAGTCACTATGATATAATATTGATTTGGGAGTAAGATCTGATTTGTAATGTATAATAAGTTGAGCAATTAATTGCACTGTAAAAAGTAGAGAAATATGAGGTAGTTGGTACTAGTTAGCAAAAGATAGTTTTGGGACTCACACAATAATGTAATTGGAATATACACTAATTGCTCACACAATATAAAGGGGATTAAAATAGTAGTGGTAAGCTGAATTAAATGGACAGGTAGCAACCATGAATAACATTAAATTGGAGTAAGATTTGTCTTGCAACACAAAATTATGAGCAATAAAAGCAATTAAAAAGTAAAAAGTATTTGAGGTAGCTGGTATTAGCTAGCAAAAGAAAAAATAATAATGCACAATAATGTAATAGTAAATAATAATAATGCACAATAATATAATAGTAACATGCACTATATGCACCACACGTATATATGTGTTGAGGACACTCATCTAATCTGTTACAGAAATGTTAGCTTTTCTAAGGAAGGTAGAGAAATCATGTTCATTTGAGATGGTGTATTGTTGTCCTGTTGAAGTTTTTCTAATTAGTATTTTCCCATCTCGAGTGAAACACTGATGTATTTTGTTTTCCTGTTTAAGTTTTCTCAACCTGAACAGAAGGTTTTGACGTTTTCTCGTTAAACACTCATTGATGTACACTCCATTTTTCATTGTAATTGCTGATTTAATTAAGTCCTTTCTTTTATCATATGAATGAAGTCTGATCATGATACTGTGTTTACTACCTTGCTTTCCTAACAAACGTGTTTCTTTGATTTCATTGTATTGCACGATAACTTGTACATGGTCCTGTATTATCCTAAGATGAGCTGCACTAGCTCATCGAAGGTAGCGACGCCACTTGCTTTATACCAGCTGGTAAAAGCTTTGGTCTGCTGTCTCACAAAATCCACCAGGGATTGACCAAGCTGTTGTCTGCCTAACTCGAATGACTTCCTATACTTAGCAGGAATGCACTAATATGCTCCAAGGACTGTGGTCTTCACCACTTTGTAATTGCAAAAATCAGTGTCATTTAACATGGATGTAAATTCCTGTGCCTTACCAAGAAAAGCTGTATGCACCAAAGACTCAAACCTAGACAGAAAAATTCCAAACTACCAACCCCAAGATTTTTTTTTTTTTTTGCAGATAATTACAAAAGCTCCTTATTACCAACTGCAGTGGAACCTTGACACTCAAACTTATTTCATTTCAGAAGGCTGTTCGAGTGCTAATCCGTCCGAGTACTGAACAAATTTTTCCCAACCAATTTTCTTTTTGGTTGGCTGTTATCACTAACCCTCTTAGGCCCCGTGGTGACTTATATAAACAAATAATATATATATAAAAAAAAAAGAAAAATGCGAGGAAACACAAGATAGTTTACAGCAAAGTTCTAGCAGATTGTGTTTGTTTGGTCAAGTGCGGAGCAAACAGTTGACTACTGAGCGATTTGTTCACTGAACAAAGCGTTCGAATACTGAATTGTATTAATGTTGGTAGAATTACCAGCTTGATGAAGCTCCTGAAGAGTGAAACCTTGCCACAATAAAATGTAACATAAGTTGCACTTGTGTCCTTTTACCTAGAATACTGAATTGTTCGAGTACCGAGGTTCCACTGTATTTCCTCTGAGAAAACATTTTAAAACTAATATACCTTTACATGTATATATAAGAAAGCTCCAATTGTGCTCTCACTTACTATTAGTGTTATTTAATAAATCTGTTAACTAACTTGTACCCAAACATACATAAACAAGTTAGGGTTACACCCGTCTACAAACAAGTAGGGAATCATCAGAAACTAACTACAGGCTAGTTTCTAACTTGCCACTACTAAGATATTTGAAAAACTAATGTGCAAGTGGATGTACAAATTCATAACAAGACACAATGTTATTGACTTTCCAGCATGGTACAAATTGTACAGTAATAAAATTGCTTTAATCAGTGTACATGTCCTTAAAAAATGAATATTTAATAGGCCTTTTTATTGATCTAAGAAAAACTTTTAATAAACCATGGCATCCTACTCTTAAGTAGTGGAATGTTATTCTTCAGCCAGTCTTACATTTTAACATTATCATAGCCCATATTTCAGGTAGTTTGACCTTAAGTTACTCTGAGTTCCACATAGAGCACAACCATGTAAGCATTATAAAACGTTTCTGAGAGTATAATAGTTTGATATCATTATCCCATTTTAATATTTTTTTCTTTTTTACTTTTTTCCACTAGGTAGCAAATATCCAATTTGGATTGTGAGTGACATGCGAAGACAAAGTGACCTTGCGTGGTTCCAGCAACACTATGACAATATTATTTACACTGTTCGTATTACTGCTTCTGAAGCAGCAAGGAAGCAGCGAGGTTGGACATTTACATCAGGTGTGTAGTAATTATTTCTTGATCACTGTTCCCCTCAAGGGAGGTTCCTTGATGCTGGTGAGGGGCTTTTGATCTAGGGAATTGGACCTGTGCTCCGGTTCCCTGAATTGAGCCTGAATACCTTCCATCCCCCCCACATGCGCTGTATAATCCTGAAAATAAATGGTATAAAATACCGACACAATGGAAACATAAACACATATGCAGTTTAATGTGATCCTTTATTGACAACGTTTCGCCCATACAGTGGGCTTTTTCAAGTCACAAACAGATCTACATGGGGTGGAAGGTACATGAGTATTTATAGTCAGGTTCAGAATGTTGAGGTCAGGTGGAGAATGCTGCATCTGATGATCTACCCCACCCGGTAGATCATCAGATGCAGCATTCTCCACCTGACCTCAACTTTCTGAACCTGACTATAAATACTCATGTACCTTCCACCCCATGTAGATCTGTTTGTGACTTGAAAAAGCCCACTGTGTGGGCGAAACATTGTCAATAAAGGATCACATTAAACTGCATATGTGTTTATGTTTCCGCTGTATAATCCTACAAGTTTAGCTCTCCCCTATGATTATAATAATGGCAGTTGATCACTGTTGGCTCATTTATAATATTCTTATACTATACAGTAGTCTTTCTTACATATATTATTTTAGCTTTTTCTGAATGCATTGTATTTATACCATAAATGTAAAACATTTCCATCCGTAAGTAGAGGTGTAAACATTTTCTTAAATACGCATAAGATTTTCTACAGAATGCCTATCATAAGCTGAGGGGTATACTCGCACTTCCAAACATAGTTTATATTTTGAACCTGAAGCAATAAAATGATCCTTTTTTTTAATATGGGTAGGATAGGTTTTTTTTTTTTTAAGTTTTGTTTAAAAATAGTTCGATTATATTTTTACAGCTTTGTTTAAATATGGTTAGATTTTCAGTTTTAAATAAGTTTAGGTTTTCTTGATATTGAGCTTAGAATCAACAGAATTTCACTCATATAGTATAACCATTTCCATCATACTCATGTTCTGTCATCAGTCTTTCACAGTAAGTCTTGCACTCATGCACAGTAAAGTCACCAGCCTTGCACTCATGCACAGTAAATCAGCGTGATGTCTTGCACTCATGCACAGTAAATCAGCATGATGTTTTGCACTCTTGCACAGTAAGTCATCAGCCTTACACGTCTTACATCCATGCACTGTCACTAACCTTGTACAGTTACTAGCATTACACACTTGCACAGTCAGCATGAGAATGTGATGACTGAGTCGTCAAGAAAGAGCATGGAAGAGAAAAGAGAAAACCCAAATTGTCAAAACCTTCCAGGGAGGAAGGGACAAGCAAATTTGGAGTAAACTTCAATGTGGAGGCAAATTAAGAAACGTTACTAGCGTGAATTTGGAGACTAAAGGGACATAATATATGAGGGCAATGATAATTGAATTAGTCGTACATCTGCAATTGTTCTGCACACAAAGGGATCATGAAGACAGACAAAATAGCAAAGTTATTAGACAACAAGTTGATTTTGCAAAGAAATGATGTTTGCCTATGTATGCAGGCTCTTGACTGCGAAGATTGAAAGGCCCCTAGGAATGGATGTAAACCTTGATGATGAATGGGATTAATTTTGTAGTTAGTCTATACTGTCTAGAGACCCTAGTAGAAATACAGTAAGTCTCATTGATTTTATTGGATTATCCTAGGTTCAGTCTACAGTGTATTTTATATGTTTGGGATATTGGCAGTTTGGAGAGATATATTGTGTATTTTTATACGTATATACTTCTAAGCTGTTGTATTCTGGGCACCTCTACTAAAACAGTGATTATGTGTGAGTGAGGTGAAAGTGTTGAATGATGATGAAAGTATTTTCTTTTTGGGGATTTTCTTTCTCTTTGGGTCACCCTGCCTCGGTGGGAGATGGTCGACTTGTTGAAAAAAAAAAAAAAAAAGTGTGTGCCAGTAGGCAATAGCAAAAATGATACATGGAAGTAAAGATACTTGTAGCAGAGGATCCTTTTAATTCAACATTTTGCCCAGTTATTACAATCAAAACTAAGCACAAAGCCCACAACAGTCATACAGCACTGAAAGTTTCACCTGAGGCTGGGCTTTATCAAGTACGTACTTGAAAAAGCCCATCACTTGTGCTTGCAATGCTATGTAACCCTTTAATTGCCCAAACCTTGATCTGTGCTCTTACTGCTAGCGCTCCAAATGTAGATCAACATTTGGACAGTTAAAAGGTTAAAAAAGAAAATATTTGCATACCAGATACACACAACCTAATTAAAAACTTAGTCTTAGATTAGGGCTGAATGTAAGCAAAGAAGAGTAGTCATCCATGACAGGCAGCATTTAAGTAGGTTGTGCAAGACTTCCATGACATTCAACAATCTAAGATGTCAAGAAATTTGACTCTTGTTCGAGGATACAGGAACCATATGCAGTACTGTTTAGGCTAACTATTTTTCTGTTTTTATCGTAAATATTGTGAAGCTTTTGGCATTATTTACCAGTGTTTTTTACCCAAGTATCAGCCAGATTATGCATGTATATTGCATCAAAACCATTTGACCTCTTTTCAAGGTGCTCAGAAATGAGAATAGATTTGTACTTGACTCATAAGAATTGACTTTTTGACAAAGTTAAAGGTTGACCTGTGCACACTTGTCAGGTTATACTTGAGTGTATATGATATAGTCACAAAAGTGCAATGTGCTTATTCCTTTTCCTCAGGAGTTGATGATGCAGAGAGTGAGTGTGACCTTGATAACATCACTGACTGGAATCAAGAGGTAGATAACAGTAATTGTTCTGGAATTGTAGAATTGTTAGACCATCTGACTACCCTGTGTAATGATAAATTAAATAATCTACAGTAGGTGAAACTGCTAATAAGAAAGGGGTATTGTAGTATGTAAATGACTATTCATGTCCCTTCAAGTAATGTGCTCATCAGATGAATTAAAGCTATCCTCACCTTCCTTGGTTCAAACTCAAGTACCTCCTATTCAATTAATGCTGTAAGTAGAGGTTTTGTACTTCCAATGAATGTATATTGTATTGTGGAAGTGCTAAACCCATAGGGGTCATACAGCACCTGGGTAAGTGGGAGGCAATCAGGTTTGATTCAAGGGGATGTCAGGTCTAAGCCCTTGGATCAAGAACCCCCTCACTTGCATCTCCTTGAGTGGGCCATGAATATGATCACTACAGTATTCATATTTTACACAAATCTTATTAGACTTATTCATTTGTATAAAGAGTTTAAATTTTAAGTTGGTAAAACATTTATACTTTTATATTTACTAAACCACTATAAAACAATTGTCACACAAGTGCTTAAGATATACTACTCATTTTTTACTGAAGAATCTCACAATACCATGGCTGGAACACTACTACTATCAGAACAAAACATTTAACCCACAAGGATCATACAGCCTTGCTGGAACAATTCATTAGTGACCCCGCACTTAAGATGGTGTTTGTGCCTCCTGGACCACCTTTGGTGAATTTATCATTAGTCTGTTTTTAGTTTTAATTGTTTATATTGTAATAAAAACTAAATTAAGTTTTTCTTATCTACTTTAGATCCTTTATATTATTATTATATCAAAGTCAACCGCTAAACCCACAAGGGTCATACGGTGCTGCAGGGCAGGGTGTGCTTTCTTGATTATAGACTAGTGAGGGTGGAGATGATGACAGAGGTAGAGTTAGAAAGGGCTGTGAGGAGTGCTAAAGAAAGTACCATCAAAGTTTGTGTAAAAAATCTGTTGCTGTCAAAGAGGGAGTCAGTGTCAAAGGTGGGGGCTGTCATCCAGGAGGAAAGACAGTGATGACATCCGAGGTAAATTCTGCGTGCTCCCTGGTAGATAGAATAGTCCAATAGAATGTGGGAAACTGAAATTGGAACCTGACAGTTCTCACAGTGGAACTGGAAGTCTCTCCATGAGATACCCATGAGTGAGTGTGTGTGACCAATGTGAAGACAGGAGAGCATAGTCTCCTCAGATAAGGCCAGAAACCCAAAGTCAGCTTGATAGAATATAATTTACAAATCAAATCAGACCAACATTGTTGCCAATGGTTGCGAAGGTGGCTAGAGATTATAGCAAAATAGTCTGAGAGTGGAATAACCCTATAGGAAACTTGAAGGTCACGTACAGCTGACCATGCAACAGTCTGCCAGCTCATTGCCCTGAACCTCTACATGACCAGGGACCCAGCAGAAAATGATATTTTGTTTCTGCTAGAGATGCAGTGCAACCAAAGCTAGATACGAACTAGGAGATGAGACAAATTAAATTTTTGGTAGCCTGCAATGCACTAAAGAAGTCTGAAACTGCTACAAATGTTGAGGTAGGCCTGGATGCAATATGGATAATTACAATGAGAATTGCATACAGTTCAGCTGTAAAAATGTTAGCCAAGTCTAATAAATGACCACACACAATACTGAGAACACTGCTGCAAACCCAACACCATCTGAGGATTTTGAACCATCATTGTAAACTGCATTGGCATGAGAATGGGATCAGAAGTGGTTAAGTAAAAGGGAGCAGAAGCAACTGTAGGTAGTTGCTCTTTCATGCACAGCAGTGGGGAAGAACAGACTTTGAACCACAGTAGGGCCCCACTTATACGGCAGGTTAGGTTCCAGGCTACCGCCTTAAAGCGGAAATCGCCTTAAAGTGGAATGCCAATTTTTCCACTTATAAATGCATATAAATGCCAGACAAGTTTACACTAACTTATATTAAGTTAGTAATAAAACTAGGCATTAAAAATCACAATAAAAAGTAAAATACATACACAGTACATTCATTACTTACCTTAAAATATTTGTAGTCTTAATGTAGGGCAAGAGGTGAGTAGTACTTATTTGTAGGAAGTCAGGTGTAGGTAGCCCTGGCTACCCATCCCAAACTTAATATATGATATTGAAAGCAGCACAGAGAGAGAAAATACACATACAGTACACTCATTGTTTACTTTAAAATACTGTATGTGTAGTATTTATTTGTAAGAAGTCAGGTGTAGGTAGCTGGTAGATGTAGCTATGTAGTCTGCCTGGCTACATTTTTTATTTATTATTTTATTATCAGACTGGCCGATTCCCACCAAGGCAGGGTGGCCCGAAAAAGAAAAACTTTCACCATCATTCACTCCATCACTGTCTTGCCGGAAGGGTGCTTTACACTACAGTTTTTAAACTGCAACATTAACACCCCTCCTTCAGAGTGCAGGCACTGTACTTCCCATCTCCAGGACTCAAGTCCGGCCTGCTGGTTTCCCTGAACCCCTTCATAAATGTTACTTTGCTCACACTCCAACAGCACGTCAAGTATTAAAAACCATTCGTCTCCATTCACTATCAAACACGCTCACGCACGCCTGCTGGAAGTCCAAGCCCCTCGCACACAAAACCTCCTTTACCCCCTCCCTCCAACCTTTCCTAGGCCGACCCCTACCCCGCCTTCCTTCCACTACAGACTGATACACTCTTGAAGTCATTCTGTTTCGCTCCATTCTCTCTACATGTCCAAATCACCTTAACAACCCTTCCTCAGCCCTCTGGACAACAGTTTTGGTAATCCCGCACCTCCTCCTAACTTTCAAACTACGAATTCTCTGCATTATATTCACACCACACATTGCCCTCAGACATGACATCTCCACTGCCTCCAGCCTTCTCCTCGCTGCAACATTCATCACCCATGCTTCACACCCATATAAGAGTGTTGGTAAAACTATACTCTCATACATTCCCCTCTTTGCCTCCAAGGACAAAGTTCTTTGTCTCCACAGACTCCTAAGTGCACCACTCACCCTTTTCCCCTCATCAGTTCTATGATTCACCTCATCCTTCATAGACCCATCCGCTGACACATCCACTCCCAAATATCTGAATACATTCACCTCCTCCATACTCTCTCCCTCCAATCTGATATCCAATCTCTCATCACCTAATATTTTTGTTATCCTCATAACCTTACTCTTTCCTGTATTCACTTTTAATTTTCTTCTTTTGCACACCCTACCAAATTCATCCACCAATCTCTGCAACTTCTCTTCAGAATCTCCCAAGAGCACAGTGTCATCAGCAAAGAGCAACTGTGACAACTCCCACTTTATGTGTGATTCTTTATCTTTTAACTCCACGCCTCTTGTCAAGACCCTCGCATTTACTTCTCTTACAACCCCATCTATAAATATATTAAACAACCACAGTGACATCACACATCCTTGTCTAAGGCCTACTTTTACTGGGAAATAATTTCCCTCTTTCCTATGTACTCTAACTTGAGCCTCACTATCCTCGTAAAAACTCTTCACTGCTTTCAGTAACCTACCTCCTACACCATACACCTGCAACATCTGCCACATTGCCCCCCTATCCACCCTGTCATACGCCTTTTCCAAATCCATAAATGCCACAAAGACCTCTTTAGCCTTATCTAAATACTGTTCACTTATATGTTTCACTGTAAACACCTGGTCCACACACCCCCTACCTTTCCTAAAGCTTCCTTGTTCATCTGCTATCCTATTCTCCTTCTTACTTTTAATTCTTTCAATAATAACTCTACCATACACTTTACCAGGTATACTCAACAGACTTATCCCCCTATAATTTTTGCACTCTCTTTTGTCCCCTTTGCCTTTATACAAAGGAACTATGCATGCTCTCTGCCAATCCCTAGCTACATAGCTATATGATATTTAATGCGGCCCAGAGCCATATTATTACCATCAAAATACCTTGTTCACTGAGTTTAATCGTTTCTAACAACTACCTTTAGATGCCATCATAAACAAAGGGAGAAGAAATGAATAATTCATGCCAAGAATTGTAAGCAGAAGTGGAGTGTTAACCCCTTCAGGGTCCAAGGCCCAAATCTGAAGTGGTGCCCCAGTGTCCAAGAATTTTAAAAAAAAAAAATTTTTTGTTTTTTCTTATGAAATGGTAGAGAATCTTTTTGTGAAGGTAATAAAACAAAAAGTACGAAATTTGATGGAAAATTTACGAAATTATGCTCTCGCGAATTTTGATGTGTCAGCGATATTTATGAATCGGCGATTTTGCCGACTTTGACTCCCATTTTAGGCCAATTACATTATTCCAGTCAACCAAATTCTTAGCTATTTCACTAGTATTACTTCTATTCTATCGATTGAGCACAAGAAATCACCAAGTCAACTGTTTCAACTATAAATTAAAGTGATCGGAAATTGTTAATTTGGTCAATTTAACACAAAGTTCAAAATATTCCAATTTCAAAATAGGGTCCAGAATAAACAATGTAGGTATTCCTGGAACTAAACTAACATTTCCTCTGTTCATTAGTTACGTTTTGAGGCTTTACAAATAAATTCCATTTTGATTTTTTATTCACATAATGAATTTTTATTCACACCAAAAAATAGAAGACTTACTGTTATGCAATACTGTAATAATTGTATAAATATCATCACCATATTTGTGAATGCATATTAGACCCACCAGCTGGCGTGTATTAGACGTGTGAGGTCGTTTGTTTACTCTTGAATATCGGCAAAAATTTAACATTTCTGCTACTTTGAGCTCAGTTTCAAGCCATTTCCAGTGCTAAAACCAATCAAAATCATCTCTATTTCTGTAATATGTCTTCCATTCTATCAAATGAGACCAAGTAATCGCAAATAGAACTATAAAAAACATACGAAAAAACACTGCAAAGTCGCTGTTTTAATAGAAAAATCATGATTTCAGTTTTTTTCTCATTATACACAACGTGCTGCAGGATCTGTTTTATGTGGTGCACACATACCACATAGATGTATTCTCTCATATCTAGGCCCAAATGTACCACTCACAGTTTATCAGAGTGAGCTGAGCTCATGACGTAGATCTACGGTTTGGACCCTGAATGTAAAGCCGTAGATCTACGGGACGGACCCTCAAAGGGTTAAGGGAAGTGACTGGGCCAAATGCAGATTCATACGTTTTCTCTGGTGCTGAACCAGAGAAACGTAATGTTTTCCCTCCAACCGGCTACCACACCTCCATAGCATATAAATATAGCATGTTTATATGCTATGTAAAGTGTTTATGTAATTTTGAAGAAAATATCATAATGGATTAATGAAAATGTCTATATTAACGTAAAATAAGACATTTAATGTGCCCAAGAGTGATTATTACGTACTATTAGTACAGCGGACACCTACCTTACGATATTAATCCGTTCCTGAGAGCTCATCGTAAACCAAAATTATCATAAGGCGAATTAATTTTCCCCATAAGAAATAATGGAAATCAAATTAATCCATTCAAGACACCCCAAAGTATGAAAAAAAAATTTTACCACATGAAATATTAATTTTAACCCCTTCAGGGTTTCGGCCGTACTAGTACGGCTTACGCACCAGGGTTTTTGACGTACTAGTACGCCTAAATTCTAGCGCTCTCAAATCTAGTGAGAGAAAGCTCGTAGGCCTACATATGAAAGAATGGGTCTATGTGGTCAGTGTGCGGTATAAAAAAATCCTGCAGCACACAGTGCGTAATGAGAAAAAAAAACTTTGACCGTGTTTTTGGATTAAAACAGCGGCTTTGCACTGTATTTTCGTATGGTATTTATTGTTGTATTCTAGTTTTCCTGGTCTCATTTTATAGAATGGAAGACATATTACAGAAATTGAGATGATTTTGACTGGTTTTACAAAGAAAAGTACCTTGAAATTGAGCTCAAAGTAGCAGAAATGTTCGATTTTTACTGAAGTTCAAAAGTAAACAAATCATGCTATGCGTCCAATACACGTCAACTGGTGAGTCTAATATTCTTTCACAAATGCGCTGATATCGTTTATACCATTTCTACACTAATGCAGTAGTCTGCATAACAGTAAATCTTCTATTTTTTTTTTTTTTTTTTTTTTTTTGAGAATAAAAATTCAAAGTGCAAAGCAAAAGAATGTAAGAGGGGCATGGGGACGTGACTAATGAACAGAGGAAATGTTATTTTAGTGCCAGGAATGTCTTTCTTGTTTATTCTGGACCCTATTCGGAAATGGGCATCTTTTGAAATTTGCGTGAAATCGGCAAAATTGCTAAATTCTGACCACTGTATTGGATAGTTGAAATCGGTAAATGGGTGGTTTCTTGTACTCATTCGATATAAAAAATGGAGTTCTAGCGAAATAGTCATGATTTTTTGTCGACAAGTACACTGGAATTGGCCGAAAATAGGGCTCAAAGTGGGCAAAATCTCTGATGCGTAAACATCGTCGAGACCGCTAAGTTCACGAGAGCATAATTCCGTAAGTTTTCCATCAAATTTCATACTTTTGGTGTCATTATGATTGGGAAATGATTCTCTATCTTTTCATAAGAAAAATAATTTTTCTTTTTTTAAATTTGGCCGACTCCGAGAACAAGTCTCTGAGAGGGCCTGTCGACCTTGAAAGGGTTAATGCACACAAACTGAAGAAGACATGCACAATTACTACTCTACTAAGAATAGAATACATGACCCTTACCTTTATTGAAGATCTGATGATGATTGATGGGATGGGAGGAGGGGAGAGTGTGGATGTTATTGTTTAGAAGGGGAATCCCCTTCCATTAGGACTTGAGGTAGCAAGTCCTTTTCCGGGGTTACTTCCCTTCTTCTTTTAATGCCACTAGGACCAGCTTGAGAGTCACTGGACCTCTGTCGCACAACAAATCTGTCCATAGAGCTCCTAAAATGGGCCACAACATTGTCATTGTAATAGTCACCAGCACGGCTTGCAATAGCTGTGTTAGGGTGCTTTTCATCCATAAAGGTTTACAGTTCAACCCACTTTGCACACATTTCCTTAACCCTTTGACTGTTTCCGACGTATAAATACGTCTTACGAGCCAATGTTTCTGACGTATTTATACGCATAAATTCTAGCAGCTTCAAATCAAGCAGGAGAAAGAAAGCTGGTAGGCCCACATGTGAGAGAATGGGTCTCCATGGTCAGTGTGCACCATATAAAAAAAATCGGGGAGCCAGTGGTGCATTGTGGGAATGCCATTTCAGTTGTCATTTTTCAGCATGTCTAGCGGTAAGAAATATGTGATTCCCCAGCAAATCTGGGACTCTTCTCTTCCAAGTGATGCTCTAACACAGATGGAAGTGTCATGAAGATCAATTTCATGATTTGGAGGAGTTTGAGACCAAAAGCAATGGAGGAGGGGAGGGGGAGGAGGGGAGGAAGAGGAGGAGGAGGAGGGGAGGAGGAGGGAAGGAAGAGGAGGAGGAGGAGAGGAGGAGGAGGAGGAGAAGAGGAGGAGGAGGAGAGGAAGAAGAAGATGTAATAATATTGTTCCTTGAAGCAAGAAAAAAAAAAGTCAACACCCCATGACAGTGACAAGATAAGGGGAGATAACATCTGATAAGAGCTGACTTTGATGAGGGTAAAGGAGGTAATATTACATGGACCATTGCCCTCCCTTTGTTTTTTGCTGGTACACAAACATTTCTGTCTGTCTATTTGTCTGTCTGTCAAGCTCCCTGTCTGTCCATCTAGCTCTCCTGTCTCAGAGAGCCACAGACTTGTCATCACGTTTACTCACATCTTCAATAGAGTATTAAAAACACTTTGTCCTGGATTTCTGGGTTATCCTAGGTAATTTACACTATGTATACTTGTATTTATGTGTACCTGTGAGACAGAGATAGGCAGACAGATGAAAGAGAGACAGATTGAAGATATAAAATGAGGGAGAAAGATAATTAGTTTAGATGGAGGAGGGGAAGCAGCATCCGACCCCATTGTTTTGACAGGCGGTAGGGTAGTGCTAATGACACAATATGTCACTTTAAACAGCTGCGCTCCTGACGTCAAAACAATTATAAGCCACACACTCGCACACAAGGAGGAGGAGGAGGAGAAGAATAAGAAGGGAGGAAGAAGAAGAAGTAGGAGAAGAAGAATCGGAGGGGGAAGAAGAAGAGGAGAAGAGTGGAGAGAAGAGGAGGAGGAAGAGGAGGAGGAAGAAGGTGGAAGAGGAGGAGGAAGTAGGAGGAGAGAGGAAGGAGGAAGAGAGGAGGAAGAGGAGGAGGAAGAGTTGGAGGAAAGAAGGAGGAGAAGAGGAGGAGGAAGAGGAGGAAGAGGAGGAGGAAGAGGAAGAGGAGGAAGAGGAAGAGGAAGGGGAAGAAAAGAAGAATTGTTTGTTTTTTTTGTAAACAAGTTTTGTAAACAATATTTTTGATAATTATGTTTGTGTGCTGTTTTGTTGTATTAAAAACGGTGTATATATATACAATTGCACCTTATTGGTCTCATAGGCACATAAGTTATGTAAAAAATAAAAATGAAAAAAACAAAAAACCTTCAATTACAAGTAAACTAAAGTTTACCGGTTTGAGCGGCAGTCGCCGCTGTTGCCATACGCGGCTATTTTCTGCAAACTTATGGCTCTATATCTCGAGTAAGTACCGATGGCAAAAATTTTTTTTTTGGACTAAAACCACTCAGAAAATAATCTTAACATTTCATAAGAAAAAAAATTTTTTTTTTTTTTGAAAAATTTGGCCGACATAGAATGACATTTCAGAGAGGGACCTGAAACAGTCAAAGGGTTAATCTTTGAAGTAGGCACAATGGATTCCACAACTGGCATAGGCTTCTCAGGGTTAGCCCCAAACCCTTCAAAATCTTTCTTAATTTCCATACTAATTCTCACCCTTTTTACCACAGGGTTGGCACTAGAAGCTTTCTTGGGGCCCATGGTGACTTATTTTGCAGTTACAAGCACAAAAAACACGGGTGATAAGGTGAAATGTACCGAATGTATGCATGGATGCAACCGCACTGGCTGGCTTGTAAACACTGGCGCTGAGGCCACACATGGGACGCGTCCCGGACGAATCGCGTGAGGAGAGTTTTTTAGCGTGAGGTGAGGCAAAATTTTTGCGTTCAAATGTATTGTATGGCGGATTTAACATAACGCGATGCCATCGTAAGGTGGAGGTCCACTGTATTACTGTAGAGTTAAGACTAGAGACACACTCTTAGTGATTTTCATGTGTACCTGCATGCCAGCACTGTGTGTAAGTATATTTAGGTACAGGTACACATAAGTATTATTATCAGAGTACAGTGGACCTTCAACCAACGGCTTTAATCCGTTCCAGAGAGCTAGCCTTTAGTCAAATTAGCCGTTAGTCGAATTAATTTTCCCCATAAGAAATAATGGAAATCCAATTAATCCATGTCAGACAGCCAAAAGTATTAACAAAAAATATTTTTTTTAAAGATTAAATATAAATATACATACACAAAACAATGACAAATAAATATAAAGCACTAATAAAATAGATAAATGAACATTTAACATCACACTTACCTTTATTGACTTATCTTTATTGACTTGACTTGTTGGTGTGTGACAGACACATAGGAGGCAAGAGGAAGACAAGTTTATTATGCTTCAATATGACGCTAATATCATCTCTACGGCTTATTTACCTATCACAATTCATCTAATATGACATTATAAACAATATTAATAACATAAAAACATGATGTGTACTCTAGAATTAATAAAATATGTCATAATGTATGAGAGTAAATAGTGTAAGTGTTGTTGTTGGGTTTAAGGGCCACCACTGAGAGAAGGGTGTTGGTGGAGGTGGAGGCTTTTGCCACCACCACCATCACACTTAAACAATGCATGTAATTTATAAATAAGAAATATTTACATTTTAATTTATAAGTAAGTTTATTCAGGTATACACAAATACAGTTACATAGATTATCATACATAGCAGCATGTGTAAAGTACCTAGGATAACCCAAAAGTCAGAGTGACTTATGTATTTCCATTGGGGTACTTTTATATTTACACTTAATATATTTACTTTTATGCTCACACTTTTATATTTACACTTACCTTGGAGGAGATGTTAGTTTAATTAGGTAGTTTGATGGAGGAAATGTGGCAGAGGTTTAGGGTAGTGGGAGATAGCAGGCCAGTGTATGTTCAGCGGATATACATACATCCATTATTGGAGAATTACTTTTGTCTCGTTTTTCTTTCACTTACTCGCTTAACTTACTTGCTACACTGTTAATTCTACACTTTATCGCTGGCTGGCACTATAGCCTTTATCGATACCTACTGCTTTAGTATCGTACATATTGTAGAATCACTAAATCACTGCAGAAGGCACATTCTCCCCTCTCTCCTCCTCCTCCACTTCAGTACTTTGCTACGAGTTTTTTCTTGAATTTTATTGTGTTTCTTTCCTTCTTTATCATAGGGCTGACACTAGAAACTTTCTTTGGGCCCATGGTGGCTGTTTAGCAGTTACAAGCACTAAAAACACTGGAATTATACAAAGTATATCGCAGGTACATGTGGAATCGACCGAAATGGCTTGTAAACACTGGCACACTGGCTGTACATGGAGTCTTGGAGTGGCTGGGCCTGCTCAGGCCGCATGGACATGTTTGGGACAAAAGCCTTTAGACGAGTTTTTTGCTATTGGTAGAGCCAATTTTTTGACGCCAAAGAGCGCCGTTAGTCGATTTTGGTGTTAGTCGATGCTGCCTTTGGGTGAGGGTCTCCTGTACATATAAAATATGCAATAACTTTAAAACAGTTGAAATTTTGGAAAGTTTCCAGACATAATAGAGAGATGTGCTCATGGAAAATGTAAACAAACCGGGTGGGGTGTGCCATATTAGAAAGACAGCCACATAGTGAGTTTTGGTCATAATTTTAACTTGCTGTATTAACGGAACGCCATAAGGCAAAACGCTGTAAAGCAGGACCCTGCTGTATTGGAACCTCCCAAGGGGCAAGAGAAAAGGTAGATGCCAGATGAACGTACATACAAAGGGGGCGATTGAAGAAAAGCCAGGCGTGAATATGAAAAGAAAAGGGGCAGAGCAAACAAGGGTGGCAATCAAATAATACACCTCTACTAATGTTTGTTACCATTCTGCATGTAGAAGGATAGTGGAGGTCATAAGAGCAGACAAAATATCTGACACAATGGGCATGACGCCGATAACGCAGAGATGGAAAATTCGCCTCCACATATACTCTCTTGACGGGAGGAGTTAAAAGCACATAGGCACAAACGTAATCCCTGGTGATGAAGGGGATAGAGTTCAGAAAGAATTGCGGGAGAGGTCGCAGAACATATCTGGTCTCCATAATCTAGTTTTGATAGGATTAGAGCAGAATGAAGCCAAAGGAGTGTTCGTCAATCTCCCCCCAAGAAAGATGAGTGAGGGTGTTAAGGAGGCTCAGCCGTCTATGGCAAGTGTCATTCAGGGAGATAATGTGTGGTTTCCAGGACAGCCAGCGATCGAACAGAAGACTGAGAAATCTGACCGTATCACGTTCAAGTATACCTACCATCCGACTTACGACCGAGTTCGGTTCCGAGAAACCGGTCGTAAGTCGAAATGGTCGTAAGTCGAACTTTACTACTGAATATCAACAAAACATTTTTGTAATGACTTTATTTTATTGTTTTATTTTGGTATTTCATGTTTTACTTTACTTTTTATGCTGTTAGTACTGTATTTTATACTGTAAGGTTTAGGATAAACACTTTGTACAACACAAATAGTTGTTTATTTCCCAGAAATTTGGCATAAAAAACACAGTCGTAAGTCGAGTGGTCGTAAGTCGAGCAGGTCGTAAGTTGGATGGTAGGTGTACATGTATATGGGAACCATACAGGTACAATGGAGTATCAGAGACAACAGAACGTCTGAGGAAAATAATTTGGTATGTTAAATTAAGCACCAGAAAATTTAAACCCATAAGTAGTGGCCTAATGAGAAACACGGTCAGTAGCAATCTGGAGAGAGAGGCTGCTATTAGGTGACAGTCAGCATCTGCACAAGCTATAGCAAAGTCATCAACATAAGGTGATGACCAAATATTAGATGGGAGAACAGAGGCCAGATCATATATAGCTAATAGAAAATGAATGGTGTTAAGGACACATCCCTGAGGGACATCTTCAGTATGGACAAAGTCCGGGGAAAGCAAATTATTAACCCGAACATGGAAATGTGTCTCAAATAAAAAGATTTTAAGGAAAAGTGGCAGACTGCCCCAGAGGCCTAAGGAATGAGCCCAGGCCAAGATGTTATGTCTCCAAGTAGTGTCATATGCATTTTCAAGATCAAAAAAAAGATTGTAATAATTGAGTGGTTACTAGCAAATGCATTATGAGCATAGGTATCTAAGCAGAGTAAAGAGTCAATAGTGGAGCGGTCCTTATGAAAGCCAAATTGATGAGTGGAAAGACTATACCACGTATTCAAGTAGATGTGGGCTGCAGTGTAATGCAGTGAAGTATGGACAAGGACCTGAGAATGTAGTATACTGTGGTGCACAAGAAATACACGTTCATTAAAAGTCCTGCAGGACAAGATGGGATGGAGAACAATGGAACGCAATTTTGGTTCTTGCAAACAGACAAATGAAAAAACTAGGAGAGCAACATCTGAAACACTCAATTACTCCACACTAAATAAGCCATGATCAGCTAACAGAGCATAACAGTAGCATTCTGCAGTTGTCTATGGACCAAGAGGGTCAGTAAAGTCAACATGTAGAGGCATTGGGAAACTAGTAAGGAGTGAGGTATTGGAATGGCGTGTAGAAAAGCAGTGTGAGGAAGGGAGCGGAAGACGAGAATGTGAAGTAGCAGGGGGCGGACTAGCATCCATCATAGGTGGAAATAAATGGTATCAAATACCACACAGTGGAAATATAAACACATATGCAGTATAATGGGATCCTTTATTGACAACGTTTCACCCACACAGTGGGCTTTTTCAAGTCACACACAGATCTACCTGGGGTGGAAGGTACGGGAGTATTTATAGTCATGTTCAGAATGTTGAGGTCAGGTGGAGAATGCTGCATCTGATGATCTACCGGGTGGAGTTATAGAGTCTTGGGTAGCTTGGCAGGGGTATTGGACAAGTTGTGAGTAGACCTTCTGCAGTGTTCTATGTTCTTATGTGGGATAGCGATGAAGAAGTTTCTTGGCGAGTGGTTCAGCTATGTTATAGAAGCCGTTGTTCTGGTTGAAATTGTTGGTTATAGAGATAAGCGATGATTCCAGGATTCTTCGGTATTGAGAAGAATCCTGGAATCATCGCTTATCTCTATAACCAACAATTTCAACCAGAACAACGGCTTCTATAACATAGCTGAACCACTCGCCAAGAAACTTCTTCATCGCTATCCCACATAAGAACATAGAACACTGCAGAAGGTCTACTCACAACTTGTCCAATACCCCTGCCAAGCTACCCAAGACTCTTTAACTCCACCCGGTAGATCATCAGATGCAGCATTCTCCACCTGACCTCAACATTCTGAACATGACTATAAATACTCCCGTACCTTCTACCCCAGGTAGATCTGTGTTTGACTTGAAAAAGCCCACTGTGTGGGTGAAACGTTGTCAATAAAGGATCACATTATACTGCATATGTGTTTATATTTCCATCCATCATAGGTGTCGTCTCCTCAGTAAACACAGAGATGGCCTCAGTAATTTCAGATGAGAGAGAAGACGGAGAGAGCATGGTGGTGGAGGGAGATGTGATTTGGGTAATAAGTGGAGAGACAACAGAAGACACCAAAGAAGAGGGGTAGAGGTGTCTTGTCAGGAAAAGGGAGCAACTATACTTGGGGGGGGGGGTGGATGAACCTCCACAACAATATAAGATGCATCTAGAGGTAAAGGTCTAGACTCGGAGATAAGGAAAGAATAATGTTTGGCAATGTCAGGTGGTAAGGGGAGGAATTGTCTAGTTCAATGTTTTTTAGAAGCATGAGAGGAAACTGAGGTAGGGTCATCAGTGACAGGTCGAGGTTGTTTGGACGGGAGGTTAGAGGCAGGCTGTCCTGAGTTGTGTGTATGATTTGAAAATCAGTGCACTATATATGGAGAAGCCAGATGTGTCTAAAGAGTTGATTGGAACCGCGGTATGAGAGGAGGGTAATGAGACATTACCCGTTGAAGGTACAGGGTTGGAAGAGAGGGCTGAAGGTGTGCCAGGGTCTGTAGGGGGTGCCACAAAAGGAAAGGGTCCAGGAGGAGGCAGGCCATGGATATGGGTCTCCATGATAAGTTTTTTATTTAAAAAAAGGGGGGGGGGTGGAGAGAGAGCTCCCAGGAGGAATGAAAAGGATTATATATCCCCCTCCATGCCCAAGAGCCCTCAGGGCAACCAGCAGTGTGGAACCCATTCCATATCCTACCCTTCGTGCCAGTAAATCAGCAATTCAGGATAGCAACCTCACATCCACACCAAGCAACCTTGGCAGACAAAAGAGAGGGAGACCAGAACCCACCGCAAGGCATACCTCCTTCGGCTACCACCTCCTGACAGATAGCCTCCAGAAATACACCTGTCACCCGAAGGACACCTTAAGCCACCCCCCGGAACTCTGGAGGGATATCAAGACATCCCCAGATGATCCAGATTCCATGGCAAACCCACCACCAACTTAATGGGACAGACAACACCCTTTTCCCAGCCTAGGGGCTAGAATTTCATAGGGAAAGACCCCAAAGGCCAAAAACAGGAAAAGGAGGAGAGGGGAGGGATGGGGTAGGGAAGGGAGGAGTGGGGATATTTAGGTTAAGTAGGAGGAACAAGACCACAAGGGCCAAGTCCTCATACCAAAAGTCTCTTTGCCTCATCAGAGAGCCTCCCTTAAAGATGAGATCCCCTATAGGAGTTGATCAAATTTAAGATGTCCCTTTGGAAAGTATTTTTAATCAAGAGAAAGCACTGAACTTGTAAGGGTCTTCTAGTGCCTGTGGAGAGGGAGGCACCTAGGTTCAATCTATGGAAGATAAGTCCAGTCTCATTTTCAAGAGCCCCTCACTGGCAAAAAAAAAAAAAAACTTCTTGAGGACCCTTTGGTATGGTTATTCTTGTGTAGCAATAAATTAATAGGGGGTCATACATCAAAAAAGATTTAATATGATGAAATTTTATTAAACCTTCCCTTCAAGGGGGGCCCCTTGCTTTGGTGTGGCTTTTGGTCTGAGGAATTGGACCTTTTGGTCTTCTTCCTTTGACCAAACCTAACTCCCCTCCCCCCACTCCTGCCTTCTCCTATCCCATCCTTCCTATCCCTCCCCTTCCTTTCCTGCTTTTGGCCTCTGAGGTCTTCCCTTACAACATTCTAGCTCCTAGGTTGGGGAAAGGGTGTCAATGTCCATCCCATTCTGTTGAGGGCCTTGATGGTTTACCTGGAGAGAGTTCCGGGGGTCAACGCCCCCGCGGCCCGGTCTGTGACCAGGCCTCCTGGTGGTGTCATTTGCAGTGGAATCTGGATCATCTAAGGATTCTCTGATCCTTCCTCCCAAGTCTCTGGAGGGCAGCTTACGATGTCCTTTGGGTAACAGGCCTATCTCTGGAGGATGCCTGTCGGTTACAGGAGGTGGTGACCAAAGGAGGTATGCCTTGCAGCGGGTTTCCAGCCACCCTCTCATTTGTCCAGGAAGGTGGCTCAGTGGATGCGAGGTTGCTATCCCGGACTGCCAGTTCATCAATGCGAAGAGTAGGGCAGGGCATGGGTTTCACACCACATCTGCACCACCAGTCCCACTGAGGGATCTCTTCGGTGTGATGAGGGATATATGATCCCTTTCAGTCCTCCTAGGAGCTACCCCTCCATGTACTCTTTCCCCTCCTCCCCCCCCCCCCTAAAAAAAAAAACTTACCGTGGTGTTCCATATCCATGAAATTCCTACTCCCAGACTCCTTTCTCTTGTGGCACCCCCTTCATGACCCTGCTTCATTATTAGACCATTGATCCACAGTTGCAGCTGGATCTAACATTTGTCTCTATGCTTCATTTACACCCATTGCCACTTATTTCTCTTCAGTCGAATCTGGTCTATGGATGTTTTGCTTCTGCAACAGAAATCCAGTGGTTCTTCCTTCTTGTACAGGTTTGAGGCCAATACTTCCAAAATTATCCATGTCTAGAGTTCAGGAAACTTCAGGCAGTGAAGGGGGGCCATTAGCATGCAGCAATATTCCAACATGGATAGAAGTGATTAGAAAATTAGAATAGGCTTGGTATTTCTTATTTTAGACAAGGTGAGTAACAAGTGTTGTCAACTCAAGAGGCGCTCCTACGCCACATTGGTAGAGATATTTCCTTTCACGCTCTCAAGAGCGGTACACACATCATCACTGTCCAGAACGCAACCCAAGCTCATGATCTTTCTCTTCTTTCACATATAGATACTATTCCTGTCACTATCGAAAAATGTTGTTCCCTCAATTCTTGTAGTGGTACTGTCATTCTGCTCCATAACATAGTCCAACAGAATTTCCAGACATGTGGCAATGACATTCTTGAACAGCTGGAACTCCAAGATCTCCCAATCCTCGAAGTAAGCACTTATGTCCTTCGTGCCTGCGGGCAGAGACGATACTCTTGCAATGTGGCTCGATTAACTTTCGACAGCCGTGAACTCCCATCCTTTGTTTATGTAGCAGGACATCATTTACAAGTTCGAAAGGTGATCCCTACACTGCAACAGTGTAGAAATTGCTGGGGATTTGGTCACCCAGCGAAATATTGCAGATCTATAGCCGAACGCCCAGTCTGTGGTGCCGATGACCATTCTAATACATCTTGTAGTTGACCTCCCTCTTCCCCTAATTGTCATGAGGCTCACCCTTCTTACTCTCGCCGTTGCCAGGTCTACTTAAATGAGCAAGAAATCCGTTGTCTCAAAGAGGCACAACATCTCTCTTATGCTATGGCAGTTTCTCATCTACGCCTCCAAGGGAGACTACTCCGTATTTCTTATTCTCGTGTTTCTAAACGTCCCCCCACTTCTGGGGTCCCATCTTCTGCAGCCTCCTCTGTGGTTACCCCTCCCATAGTCACTCCTGTCTCTAATTCTTTTGCTGTCCTGGGTTCAGCAGTCCCTACTGCAACACTTCAGTCTGTTCTCACTTCTTCGTGTTCTCCCTCACAAGCCCAGGTATCGACAAGACCTCGTACGACACTTCCTCCCAATCGCCCCTCTACTTCTCAGAAGTCCAAAAAATCCCCATTACTCAAATCTCTCTTAACCTCTCCTTCCCTTCTTCCACCTCCACATTTTACCTTTCCAGTCTCTATCAATGGTTCTTCCCCTCTCACTGGCTCTGTTACAAGTGTGGAGGTTCACCCTCCTCCTCGTACTGTGCCTCCCTCCCCTGTCCCCTCCCAAGTTTCTTCCTCTTCTGCCACCTCCCAGGTTTCTGCCTCTTCTAGGTTTCTGCCTCTTCTGTCCCCTCCTACACTTCTCCAGTTCCCTCCACCCTTTTGTCCCCCCGTGCTTTGGTACAGTCCATTACTGTCCCAATTTTTACTCAGCCTCCTCCTTCCATCTTCAATATTGTCTCCCATACAATATCTTTGAATTCCAAAACACTTGAAGCTATCTCAGAATACATTGCAGAGACTAAACCATCAGTGGACACTGATCCACCCCCTGTTCCTTCTCTTTCCTCTCCTCCATCTGTGCAACTCCTTTCTTCGCAGCGCTCCGTTCCTTCGCTACTTGAACGTTTTCTGCTGCCGCCACGTGGACTTTTCTAACCCTTCTTGTCCATAGGTACCCTTACCTGCGGATTTCTGGTAACTTTATCATTGTCAATCATGGCCTATTTACAGTGGAATATCCGGGGCCTCAGGGGTAATCAGGGTGAGCTTCAGATGTTGCTCTCCCTGTTTTTTCCTG